TGTCTCTGCTGGGAAACATCAAATTTAAAATTTCAGCTTTCACATTGTTTACCTGTGAGCTGGGAACAGGGCCCCTCCAGCAATGGGGCTGAGGGGGCAGCCAGGGCCAGGCTGGGCCAGCAACAACACACTGCGCTTCTGCAGGCAGGTAGGCGGCAGTGCTGGGAGGGCCTTGGGGGCTATGGCCACCCCAAAATTCATCTTGGCTCCCCCGCATAGCTACCCCTCCTACTGGTGCTGCCCACCCACAGAGGTGTGGCACAGTGCTCCTGGCTTAACACCATGCATCTTTGCAGCCACACAGGACACAGCCAGGAAACAGCTCCCTGCAGGTAAGTCTAATACAGAGCAGGAGGAGCTAGACAGAGCTGTGGGCAGGTTGTGGCAAGAGGAGGGGGCGGGGGGCCTGCCTCAGAGTGATTGAGAGTTGGGGAGGGAAAAAGTCCTGTGAGGGGAAAGTGTGTGTGTGTGCACGTGTCCATGCATGCATCTGCGTGAAAAAATTGCTGGTAGTACTTAAGGCTGTATCGTTTTAAATTGGCGGTATGCAATCTGTCAGAGTTTGGGAACCGCTGGTCTACATGATTAACAGAGAATGGAGTTAAATGTAGGTAAACAGCTGTAAATAAATACTACTGCTTTTTTAGTGGACCCTTATTCTTACAACCACTTACAGTCAACTAGTTCCAAATGCCTATTTCCAAAACTGACTTAACACTTCATGCAGTTGTAGCAAGTAGGAGGTGGAGAGGGAGGGGGCAAACAGGCTCCTAGGGTCTGTGGAGCAATGGAGGCTGGGAGCATGCCTGCAGGGGCTGTGAAGGGGTGGAAGACTTGGGGCAGGCTGCCTGGCTGGGAGGGAGTGGGCTGTGAAGAAGTCCCTAGGTAGTCCCACAGGGCGTGGGGGGGGCTGGAGCCACAGCTGAGACCACTCGGTACGCCCCAGGCAATTATGCGCAGAAAAACTCAAAATTACACAAAATTAATTATTTATTTTTTACAAATTAAACTAAATATACCAAACACTATTTGAACCTTCTTTAGAAATATATGCAGGTACTTTGTACGGTTGGGGGGTAGATGTGGTGGGGGTGGGGTGTGGGGAGGTGAGTATGGGAGTACATAGGATCCGTGGGCAGGTGTGGGGTTTATGGTGCACAGCCACCATCCCTGGTGGCTCAGCAGCAGCAAGTGCTGGGCCCTCAAGGTGCTCATGGCCACAGCAGGCAGAGCCCCTGGTAGCGTGCGCCTCTGGCCGAGTCCGAGGGCCTGCACATGCTGGCAAGAAGCCAGCCCAGCCCACTGGCGCACACCTTCAAACCAGACCGGACTGTTTCCATGCCAGCACACATGGATCGCAGCACTGCAGGTGGAAGGCACACCGTTGGGTTGGGCGGGCCCCGGGTCTCCATGCGCAGCTTCCTGCTGAAGTGCTGAAAGCCCCATGTGGAGGCACAAAGACAGCCGGCCTGGCCTGATGGCACATGGACCAGGAGCCACACCCCATCGGGCCTGACAGGTGCCAAGCCTCCACATGGGGCTTCCAGCACTCCCCATGCCTCCACATGGGGCTCCTGCTTGCCTCTACATGCAGCTTCCCACTGGAGTGCTGGAAGCCCCACATGGAGGCACCGAGCTGCCTGGCCTGGCACAATGGCACATGGATGGCAGCAGCAGCTCATCACCTGCCCCAGCCTCTGACACACTGCAGTGTCCCATGCTGCAGTGCTGTACCATGGCCACTGCCGCCTCCTCACAGGAGTGGGCGACTGGGCAGGTATCCTGGCTACTCAACACTGCTAGGCACCTGCCCACCCATCCCCAGCGGGGCATGGGGATGCTGTCTGGATTCTCCCATGCTGGCCTGAGAGTACCTGTGGACACCTCCCCACTCCCTCAGCCCCCACCCACACACTCCCACCCTGCCCCGCTGGCTCTTCCCACAGCCCCCAACCCCCCCTCAGCCCTGGCAG